CCAAGTGCCTGTCAATCAATGAATGGATCAATAAATTGTGGTATATGTACACCATGGAATACTATGCAGCCATAAAGAAAGATGGAGACTTTAGGTCCTTCATGTTCACATGGATGGAGCTGGAAAATGTTCTTCTTAGCAAAGTATCCCAGGAATTGAAGAAAAAGTATCCAATGTACACTGCCCTATTATGAAATTAATTTATAGCTTTCGTATGAAATCTATAACCTAATAGCCTAAGTATATGGGGAGTGGGGAGGGAGAAGGGAGGGGGGAATGGGTGGAGGGAGAGTGATTGGAGGGATCACTCCTATGGTTTATCTTACAGGGGTGTAAGTGAATCATTTCTAAGGGTAGAATATGATTATCTTAACACAATAACTAAGAAAATGAGATGAAGGCTTTGTTAACTAGTTTGATGAAGATATGTCAAATTGTATGTGAAAACACCACACTGTACCCCAGAATTGGATTAATGTACATATTTATCATTTAATACAAAAAAGAACTAAAATATAAATGTCAAAAATGTGCAAAAAAGAGAACTTATAGAATTCATTAGGAGAGATTTTAAAGTACTTTTCTAAGTCTGTGACAGATGAAAATAGTAACTATTTTATTCCTGTATCCTATATTTTAATTGGTTGATATGAAAGTTGATATAGTATAAGACAAATAAGAAAACAAATTGTATTTTCTCCATAACTCATGAAATGTTCATAAAAGGTGACTGTATTTTTGGTCATAGAGAAAATTTCAGGTAATTTGAAAGAGCAGAAATGGGTTATACTCAATTCTTTGCAGTATAATTAGAGCTGAGTAATAAACATGAGAAATTTGGCAATTTTTGCATCTTCTCTAACAATCGTTGAGGTAAAGAAGAAATCAGAACTACATTTGCCAGATGTCCGGATAATACAACAACATCATATTGCATCTTACTGCATTTTCTTTTGTTTCTCTGATAAACTAATTGTGTATTCCAGTTTCAGGGAGGTAGTTAAAAGGCAGGATGCAATAACATGTTTCTTGACTCTATAACATGCAAGGCATTTTGGTTAATGTGAGATGTGATTCTGAATAAGACTTTGAGCCTTCGGAATTTGTAATTCACTGGAATTTATTATAGAATACACACGAGAAGTAAATTATTTGAGATCTATATGTGGGAAATAATCTATAGTTATTTTATAGATTTGGTATTCAGTGTGATAATTTTAACTTTTAACAGAGCTACTTAAGTGGCCCCCTTTTGGGGACGAGAAGTAAATTGTTATAGTAGATTGGGCTGTGTAGATTAGAGATTTTGGTTCCTTTTTACCTAGCTCCTCTTTTAGTATTTTCTTTTCATTGGACAGTATCCCTCTGAGCTTCAGATACTTTACCTACAAATGAGGAAATTGAATTAAATATTAAGTTCCATATACATGCTATTTTTGTGTAGCTGTGAATAAATTCATTAAGTACATACTGAACATCACTTTCTTTTCAGTCTGTAGGGTTTGAACGTGTGCTCTGGTTGGGGAAAGACACAAGCTTAAGGTGCCATGAACGCAAAGGAGAGCAGATATATCTTATAAAAGAAAGGAGAGGGAAGTGCATTGGGAAAATTTTCAAAGAGGCAGTGTGACATCTGAGTTGGTCTTGAAGATAAGTAAGAATTGTCCAGTGAACAAGGAAGAAGAGAGTTCTTGGCTCAGGGAATAGAATGTCCAGATGCCGAGAGGGTACATTTTTCTTTTTGGAAAAACATAAGTCGTTTGTATGACAGTTAGCATGAGTTTATGGGAGAATTGTAAGGGTATTAAACATTAATGGATATGGGAACTAAATTGTTAAAGCGTATGATGTCATACCAGAATATAGGCTTTAAGTTAAAGACAGTGACTAACCACAGAAATGTTATTTTAGCAGGTATGGGGAGTGAGACTGTAAGATTTAGTTGAGATGCATGCAGAGATACCATATTTTCCCGAAAATAAGACTTTGTCTTATATTTATTTTTTCTCAAGAAGACACACTAGGACTTATTTTCAGGGGATATCTTATTTTTATTATGTATAATACAACAATCTACATTTATTCAAATACCGTTAAGTCATCTTCTTTTGGAACCTGACAGAGGGAGCTGACCTTATTGGTGGGGCTAGTGCTAGTGATGTGTGAACTCCTTTCCCCTAGCCGTGCGCAATTGGATGCCTGCAACCGCAGTTATCGTATGTGTGACTGCAGTTACCATACGCGCAACCGCGGTTACCACATGTGCACTCTCACAAGTGTGAACGGCTTGGAGAAAGGAGCTGTGGCAGATAAAAGGTATTCCAGTTTTCCTTACCGCTCTACACCAAAATGCATGGTGTGGCTAGATACACTGTATAGCCATGCCCGTCACTAGGTCTTATTATTGGGGTAGGGCTTATATTTAACAAATGCATAGAACTCCTGCTAGGGCTTAATTTTTGGGTAGGTCTTATTTTCGGGGAAACACGATAGCAGAAAGCTGACAGATCAGGTGGGACAAGGTGGAGTCTTAATTAAGATAATACATAGATTTAATTCTAAGCCTCGAAATGGATGGGCTTCATAGAATCCTTGAAAGCCCTGTAAATGTATATAAGATCAATATATGAATATACTTTCTTTGGGAAATGGTTCATAAATTTCCTCAGCTCTTATAATAGGGCACATATGTGCCTGATATATATGACTAGGGTACATAAATATTACAGGGGAAACTGGCAGGATAAGATTCTACAAAATGAAATTTAATAATTTCAAAATTTACTAACAACTAATCTCTTTTTCACTTTTTATAGTGGACAGGCCAAAGTCTCAGCAAGTTCGAACATCTAGTACAATAAGGCGAACCTCTTCTCTGGATACGATAACAGGACCTTACCTCACAGGACAGTGGCCACGGGATCCTCATGTTCACTACCCCTCATGCATGAAAGATAAAGCTACTCAGGTAAAATAAGCAAAATCAAAGCCAGCTTTAATATTCTTTACTTGTGGCTCTGTGCCTGTAGCTTAAGCAGCTGAGGTGCCAGCCACATACACCAGAGCTGGAGGGTTCAATTCCAGCCTGGGCCTGCCAAACAACGATGACAACTACAACCAAAAAAAAAAAAAAAAAAATAGCTGGGTGTTGTGGCAGGTGCCTGTGGTCCCAGCTACTTGGGAG